ACCCTGTACCCCAGTGAGAGTCAGTGTGTGTGTGTGGGACCCTGTACCCCAGTGAGAGTCAGTGTGTGTGTGGGAGCCCGTACCCAGGGAGAGTGTGTTATCTACAAAATTTGTGCCCGCTCATTCCAACCTGTCTATATCCATCTTCAACCTCCCTGTTCTTTTTATACCTTCCTACCTATCTCGCGGTCTTCAATGTGTATACATCAATGTCTCTTCAATCCTCTCCTCTACGTCACTGATGTAAGTCGCAATAAAAAGCATAGGGTACAGCCCAGAACCCACTTGTAACATCCTGACATTCTATAAACGACACACTCTCTGTTTTCCTTTACCCAGCCAGTCTTCAGTCCACGCTCCTACACTGGCCCCTGCTGCCTCGAGCTCTCACATGGTGCCAACAAATGTTGACATGGGACATCTAGAAACCCAAGTCCATCTACGGGGTCTCCCCTTTTGCCTAGAGTGGGCAGTATCCCTTCAATAGAGTCCAAAGTACCGACTAAGACTGTATTTCCCTCACCCGAAACTGTGCCAACTCTTCCTGATTGAGTCGTGACCTCTTATAAGATGGGCTCAACGTTAAGCGAGACCTTCTCCAAGCCTCCCCTCCATTCTTCAAGAGCCGGGGGTGGGGGGGTGGTTCTATTTGCCCGTTACCAGTCACAACGACTCTACCAAGCGGCCAACGCATCTGCTCTGTCACCAACCTCCTTTTCCCCGAGACTCCAGGGTGATGTCTACCGGAGTTTCGGAGCTCAGGGGTCGTTTGGGCACTTGCCTGATTGTCGATTTTCAGCTCCAATAAGGTCGTGTTCTCTTTCATCGCTTTTACAATAGCCACCATCGCAGCGCCGCTAATGAAGTTGGACTCAATATTAAGGCTAGTCAGCGTTGAGTTCTCCTTCAGCATTTCAGCGAGAGCCTATCAGGACAAAGGTACAGGCCCATCAATTGGCATCTCTTACCCACGTCGAGTGGCATGGCCAGCTCTGGTACAGGCCGTTCAGCCCCTCTGTTCCCTGCCCTTTGGGCTTCACACTGGCCTCTTCCACATCTTCCTGCCCCTACGCCTCGATTTCTCTCCCCCTCGTGTCTTTATCCAGATTCCCCATTCAGTACGTCTTTGCTGTAAGCAATCCCGATGGGAGCGAGTCCCCCATTCTCCCCCCCCCCCCACCCCCCCGTGGGGGGGAGCCCCCCATGCTCCCCCCCCCCACTCCCCGCGGGAGCGAGTCCCCCATTCTCACCCTCCCCGCGGGAGAGAGTGCCCCATGCTCCCCCCCGACTCCCCATGAGAGCCAGACCCCC